CTTTGACTCGGATGTCAAAAAGATGTCTGTCATCTTCAAGGATGTGGCCTCGGAAGAGATGCATATCTTCACAAAGGTGAGCCTAAGCTGCACACATCAATCAACGTATATCTATGATAGACTAATATGACCCTACAGGGCGCTGTCGAGCGCGTCTTAAGCTCTTGCAACACTATCGCCTACGGTGACGATACCCGCACTCTGACCGACCGCTACAGAGAAGACATCATATCCAACATGGAGGTGCTGGCCGGCCAAGGTCTACGTGTTCTCGCGCTCGCACATCGAACTCTTAGCAGTGACCTTTCGGAAGCCCAATTTGCAGACGGCAAAGCCCCAAATCGCAACAACTTCGAGACTGATCTCACCTTGCGCGGCCTCATCGGCATCTACGATCCTCCCCGTCCCGAGTCCCGGCCTAGTGTTGAGATGTGCCAAGGAGCTGGCATCGTCGTCCACATGCTCACCGGCGACCACCCCCAGACCGCCCGAGCCATCGCCACAGAGGTTGGCATCCTGCCGCCGCCCGAAAAGCTCCGGCTCCTCGCTGCCGACGTTGCCGAGGCGATGGTCATGCCCGCACACGATTTTGACGCCCTGACCGACGCCCAGATCGATGACCTGCCGCAGTTGCCTCTAGTGGTGGCGCGATGCGCACCGAGTACCAAAGTTAGAATGATTGAAGCGCTTCACCGCCGCGGTCGGTACGTAGCCATGACTGGCGATGGAGTCAACGACAGCCCGAGTCTGAAGCGGGCCGATATTGGCATCGCCATGGGCTCTGGATCGGACGTGGCGAAGGAGTCTTCCGACATCGTCTTGACGGATGATAACTTTGCGTCCATTCTGAACGCCATCGAAGAAGGCCGCCGGATCTTTGACAATATCCAAAAGTTTATCCTCCACGTCCTGGCGGCAAATATTGGATTTGTGATTGCGCTGCTTACGGGGTTGGCGTTCAAGGACGAGACTGATACGTCGGTCTTTCTGTTGTCGCCTGTGGAGATTCTGTGGATGTTGCTTGGTACGGGTGCTTTCTGTGAGACTGGACTTGGATTTGAGAAGGCGGTGCCAGACATTCTTAAACGACCGCCACAAAATGTGAGCATCCTACTCTGATGTGTTGGTGGAAGTAGTAAACTGAATACTGACGGCGATATCCCAGCTCAAATACGGCGTCTTCACGCACGAATTCATCCTCGACATGGTGGTCTATGGACTCATTATGGCAGGCTGCGTCCTCGGAGCCTTCACCCTGGTTGTATTCGGCTTCAACGGCGGCAACCTCGGTATCGAGTGCAACAACGCCTACTCTACAGCCTGCGAGCCCGTATTCCGCGCTCGTGCCACAAGTTATACGACCATGACCTGGATCTTCCTCCTCTTCGCATGGGAGCTTATTGATTCACGCCGGTCTCTCTTCTACATGCCAGCGGGTTTCAAGGCTTGGGGCCAGCATCTGTGGGGTAACAAGTTTCTCTTTTTGTCTGTGACAGTTGTCTTTTTTGTTGTGTTTCCGACGCTGTACATACCCGTGTTGGATCATGTGGTGTTTATGCATCATGGAATCAGCTGGGAGTGGGCGATTGTGTTTGTCGATGTTTTCATCTTCATGGCTGGTGTCGAAGCCTATAAGTGGGCGAAGAGAGTGTATGCGAGGAGAATGCTAGCCAAGGGTGACAGCGGATTTGCGGAGTCGAACGGAGCTCAAGTATAGAGTTGTTTGCTTGGAACCAGAGATAGTTGTTGTGTGTAGACTTTAGCAATATTGTCAGGGCAGGTATTGGGCGTGAGCCATACCCCCTGTCTTTTCTTCTTCTTCCACATCTTCCTCGCTCTTTGATTTCGTTCCCATTCTCTCTTGAGCTTTTTCTTCTCTCAGGATCCTCCTCGCCTCCATTAGCGCTTTGCCCAAGCGATTCTCGCCCCAATTCGCCTGGTTCACCATAGCCTCATCCGCCTTGAACCCGATGCCCCATATGCGGTCAGTTCTCGATGCCTCGACCAACAGCCTCTCCCCTGTGGACATCAAAATCGCCTTGAGGTGCGGATTCTGCCCAAACTTGGCAATGCTGCCCACTTCCACGACCTTGCTCTTGACCTCATCCCACCTCGCGTCGTTGAAGCCCACGGTGCCTTTGCCGAGCTTCTTCTGCTCCTTGGGGTCCTTCTCCTGCATGATACGCGCCTGTCGCTGCGTGTCGCCGAAGTAGGCTGCCTTGCAGTACATCATGAACTGTTCCGCGCAGGTGACGGTGATGCTTCCGTACGGGTCGGCGGGGTCAACTTCGCGGCCGCAAAGGACGGAAATCTCTTGTTTCGAGACGGTGAAGACGGAGGGATACCATTGACAGAATTGGTGCCATGGCCACTTCTCTTGCGGCATGTGGAAGAAGACGGGTAGACTAGAGTCATCGCTATCGGGAGGATCGGAGGATGGCTGTTTTTTGCCGGGCTTCTTCTTTGCTGGAGACATATTTTGAAGTTGTCTGACTGATTCTTGTTTCGTCGTGGCTTTGATGTATTCAAGATCAGAGGCTGCTGTCTTATTGTTCTTTCCTTCCTCGGAATCGAACATATACACAGAAGGAAAGAACATTGAACCATGGGAACGACCACAACATCAGAAAGGTACACGTTCCGGAGAAAGATGCCTCCTTAATTGATGACTCCTCGCCGTTACATACTAAAAGTCAAATCGCCAATAAAGTGCGCCTACCCAAGCCACGCGAGAGCATAAAGTTCAAGCTGCTTTCATCTGCCAACGTGTTCTACGAATATCTGAGCCAAGGCAGTAATTCGGAATGCAATGAATACAGAGAGACGACAGTGAAACATAGATAGAGAAAGATCATGTAAGTTATTGCTACATGCCTAATCCCCAAGTTTTGGTGATTGGTGGTCGATTAAACGCTCTCATTGACAGAAAGTCAGGATGTTTAGAATCATGAAGTATCTAGAATCATCGAGCTGGTATCTTTCCTAGGGTTCTTGATGGAGATGTATCACTCGAAGACGTAAGAGTCTCTATGCGTAAATCTACTGGTTTGAGGGAGGCGGTTCATCATGGATCATCCCGAATATCCCCAATAAAAATACAATGACTTGGCGCCCTACTAAGGTTGCAGAGTGAGCGCTAGCCCTTAGAAAGGGTATGTTTTGCTCGTGACTCATGAGGCAAATGACTTCGGCCTTCGATCAAGCCCCGTCGTTGAGACATTGGCCCTTTCAAGACCAAGCTTCATCTATTTAATCGTAGCAAGCGGGCGATGGATAATGAGACCGGCTTACACACGAGTGACCCCTTTCTAAGAACCACTAGCACTGGAATCACCGCGCGCTTCTCTTCAGAGCGTATGTGGAAGACTAGAAGAAAGACCACTTATAATAGCAGTAGCAGTCGGAGTTGCCTTTGCTTTAGTAGGGCCAAAAGGAAACTGATAAAAGAAGTACTGACATACGAAATAGATACTGTGCTGCACACTTGCTTGGACACAGCAACATGGGTACATGTCGACTAACTCAGAGAGGAACCCATGGAGTATAATCACCTTCCACTCAAACCAACATCGCATCGGATCTCGCCGCCGTTGTTACACGAGTCAGCCCTATGGAGCTCTGAATGACTCGCAGCCCCTCAACCCTTGCGGGTAGTTGGCCATACCAAGACCGAGTTCCCGAGTGGGCGAGGACTTGGGATCGGAATGCCACGATGGAGACTGGGTCCGGCTCCTTATAAGACCACTTCAGGAACGGATCTAAGCGGATAAGCGTAAATATTAGGTGAGATATGGGACGAGGTGCCCACAGTTGCATGTGGTGGGCAGCACATTTCTGGAAATGCGGCCGGAGGTCCGTGTGACGGTTGAAGATTGCCATTTTGATAAGGGTCTGCTCCTGGATATCACGACAACGAGAACTCGTTGGAGGAGGAGCAATAAGTCTGCAGTCGCGCCATACGTTGGAACGCCAGTTTTTGCTTGCCTTGTCACGATGAACTTTGTGCATAAGACTTTGACCTTAGGAAATGCTCGCAGTTTTCAGCGAGCAATTGTGAATATGAACTCTATGTCGTTTGAGTATCCATCGTACTGCAGTAGTGCTGTGCAAAAGAAACAACGAAGAAGCTCTCAGCAAACCTGCTCACCACCTGCTTCTTTTCATGACTCGGGATGCCTGATCTGGAGGGTGCTGATTTGAACAACTGAAACGCGCATGCCCTCGATATTCTTGGCCAACCTGTCAGGGGGAACTTTTGGATTGAGCCTCCTGCCATTTGGACCGTAAATAGTGGTTTAAATGGGGAAGACTTCCCAATTTTGTACGTCAATGCAACTCCAGACTTCCTTTATGGGATGCTCCCCAGCTACGCCCCTGGTTCCAACGTGGAGAGGGTCCTTTCATTCCTGGTATCCTAAGCCGATGGGATTTGACATGTCAGAAACGTGGCATGCATGTGCCGTAAAATCCTTATTCCTCAAGGTGCGCAATTCCCATGCTGTGACCGGCTGAGCAACCGGGGCACCTTTTTAGGTAGCTTCAAAGTTGGTAACGAGAAATTCAGGAGCACTTTTGTCGGGCACGCTTAAATTGCTTCCAATCAGCTTCCGAGGAGGCGCTTGTAGATGGAAGACTTTTGGAGGTTATGGGTATTTGCCTATCAGGCCATCACACTGCATTCCCTTTTTCGAGTATGATATCTGGAGCATGGCAGATTGAGTTCAATAACTAGGCAGGCTTCGGATTATCGTGAGATGGATGGAGCCACTCGATGAATTGATGTGAGTATAAGTATAATAGGGACTTGAAGCCCATCTTTTGGCTCAAATTCGAATGCAGGCTACCCTCAGACATCTGTGGAAGCCATCGCTAGAGTCCTGTGATCGGAATATTCTCTAATCTCTTTACTGCAGTTTTCTGTAAGCCCTAAACACAACAATATTGATTTACTAGGACGTTAAAGCTGACATCATGCCCAGGAATCCAGTGTAAGAACCAAGATGAAGACGATCGGTACACTCCTCCTCGCCACTCTGGCCAGCCAGGCCTCGGCAGCGGTCCAGATGGAAGTGCGATTCAGCGACAGGATGATCGACGTCGGCAACCTCGACCTCTTCGCCGTAACGTGGCAAACCATCTACGGAGAGACCGGCAACACCAGAGCCATCATGACGGACCGCTCCGCCGGCGCCCAGACCAACGAGTGCACGCACGCCGACGACTACGACCCGGACGTGACGGTGCGAGTCAAGATGAACGGAGCCTGGGGGAAGACGCCAGGCCTCGAGGGCAACGAGATGCGCGACGGCCTCGTCCAGTCCATGTGGGAGGTTCTCAGCAGAGTCTCAGACCCTTACGGGTACGAGGTCTTCAACGGCTGCCGGGGACTGACGTGGATGGAAAGCGTTGGGTACACGCCCGACGCGGCGTGTGGTCCCCAGAGTTCGAGAAATTGTCAGTACGCGTGCCGCAGGGAGAACTCGCCCGGGTTGGCGCAGTGCATGAACCATACTTGGGGCCACAAGGTGCCGTCGTCGCTGCGGGTGACGGCGTACATTGACGGTCAGCTGCAGCCTGATGACTTGATTATTGAGTTTTCTGCTACTGCCAACTCGGAGAGCGGTGGATGCGGCTGGGTTGGCAGTATTGCTGGTGCTCTTGCTGGATTCATTCCTGTTGGAGGCAAGCTGTTTTCTAAGGGTATCGAGATCGGTTGTAGCGATTGAGATTCACTTGCCAAGTGAGTAATGGAACCTTGGTCTGAGTTGATCCTGTTATTCAATGTTAGACATTGGTCAACCTTTTAAGCTTACTTCGCTTCTTGTTGATCCTTCATGTGACCGATGTCAAATAGCACTTACCAAAGTCCCTTTTCTCGGGCGAGGATATTCTGCCAGCAGCTCCCGCTATTCTGCTACTAAGTATAGCTACGGCTGCCACACGACCGCCAGTCTCGGGTATATACGTAAGCTAGGCTCTACGTAGTTAGTATTCGAATAAATTAGACTAATTAGAGGCCGTTAATTAACTTATAGTTAATTAAATTATTTTAATAAAAAGTATAGTAATTAACGAATTAATTTAATTTAATATAATTAACGAAGTAGCCTAATTAACTATTTAATTAACTACTTAATTAACTACTTAATTAACTACTTAATTAACTATTAATTACTTTATATAGCTTATAACCCGTAATTTAATAACTTCTTCTACTTTAGCCTCGTACTCTACTTTAGCCTCGTACTTATTAATAAGTCTATTTATTTTACTTTTTATTATAAAATTAATATTATAAGTATAATCCTTATTAACTAAATTCTATAATACGTTTAACTACGTAAAATTACTAATTAATTAAAATCGTAACTTTATAAGTATTAATAACTAAGGAGCCTTTATAAAATTAATCGTATTATTATTAACTACGTTAATTATCTTATTAATAATAGCTCGTTAGTACTTCTACTATATCTTTATACTAAGCTTATATATATTAAAATTATATATAATCTCGAGGCCTTGTTAAGTAAAAATAGCCCTACTTAGTACTAAAAGTATTATTAATAATAGCGGTATTAATATAAGTACTACTTTTATATATTTAATAACTTCTTTATATTTAAACGTAAAGGGCTCTTATTTAAAAAAAGTACTTTAATTAATAATTAGCTTTTTTAACTTACTTATTATAACTACTATAATCCCCCCGACGGAGCAATCCGCCGGGGCCGTACCGTGTATTACGTATTGGGGAAAACTGGGTATATTGCGCTCCATACCTAACTACTAATCAAAACAGCAGTCAACCGACTCGACCGTTGTCTTCCTTTCATCAACTCCCGACCTTCCCCCGCCCGTCTAGAGGGCGAGCTGCACCCACTCCAACGCACATAAGACCTCCTGGTGCCAGCCCGCGTGGGCGGCCAGATCCCGCATCACATACTCCTTCTCGTCGAGGGTCAGGGGGCCCCTTATATATTCCCTCACGTCCATAATATGGCCCGTATCGGAGGGATTTCTGGCTCCGTAGAGCATGATTTCCAAGCCGGCGTCGATATGCCGGATCTTGACGTCCGTGCCGGCCCGGCTGTCCACGGCGTTCGTACTGTCGCCCAGCCGGATTCCGCACCGCCGGAAGGTACTTCGCCACTTCTTGGGCGTGCCCACGTTGGCCACGATGGCCACAGCGTCGAGCTGGCCGAAGAGGGCGCCCAGCCCGAGAGGGGCAGACTTGTCGACGGGCATCTTTGGGTTCTCGTCGAGGTGGTATTTTGACTGGCCAACCTCTTGACTGGTTGTCTGACTAGCTGTCCAGGTGGTGGTTTGTGTGTTGATGGGTTTGTTTGGTGGATTTGTTTGGTGGATTTGTTTGGTTTGAATGGAGAGCAGCTTTGGGCGATGTTGGAAGCGATGAGGATGGAAAGAATCTTTGCGAGCTCTGGTACGCAGATATTGGCCCATTTGGCCCTTTCTCCGGAAACCTCTACGTCGCCATCAAAGTTCAGAACCTCTGCGGTTGAGGGCCGCCTCCGACTATTGCGGCCGACCATTGCGGCCAACCATTACGGCCGACCTCTGCCGTCGACCTTTCCGGCCGGCGCCGCCGCAGGGCAGCTTGCCTATCCCGAATTGCATGGCGGTTTTCGTATCGAAATCACTATATTGCGTTGAGCGCGTGCTTGGGGCACATTGCGCGTATTGTGTAGTTAAAAAGTGTACCGTATCGTGTGATTTCCCTTGAAAGCGTGATCCCGTTAAGGTCGATCTTTTGCGCCTGTAAAGCCGGAAAAAAACCACCACATAACTACTATAATACTTATTATAAAGCCCTATAAATAACCCTTATTTTAGACTTATAGGGGATTAAGTAAAGGGATAAAAGTACTATTATTAATAATAAGCTCTAAGTATTATTAAAACTAATATAAGTAGATCTTTTTTAATAATATTAAAGTACTATTCTTAATATATTATTAAAAAATATAGTAATAAAGTAGTTTATAAGTAGTTCGAATTAAATAGTATACGTACTTTTTTAATAGCTTTTTTAATAAACCTAAATTTAATTATTTATTTAGTATACTAAGCTTTTATAAAAGTCGCTTAAGGGTATTATAATATATATATAAACGTACCTTTTTTTAAAATAATCCTATAGTAATACTTAATACCTTAGCTTAGTAACGGGTTTAATAAGCGCTAATTATAGCTATTTAACCTATTTAAAAAATAATTAATTTATTAAATACGACTTTAAAATTACTTATATAGTAATAAACTCGTATTTTAATACTCGTATATAAAGATTTAATAATTAACGTAATTAGGTAACTAAAATACCTAATTCGGTTAACCTAAATAAGTACGAGTTTTTTATATTATAACTTAAGCTAAGTATTAATAACGTAATTAATTATTATTATAAAGTACTTAATAATTTAAAATTTAAACAATTAGTTATAATATATAATTATTAATTAGCTATAAAAAAGATTACCCTAATTTATAAAGAATTATTAAAAATAAGGGTTATATATAACTACGCTAGTCTCGTTCCTTGTAATTAGGCTAAAGTAACGCCGAGTCCGGGCTAGTATATTAAAATTAATATACTAATAATAAAGTATATATGGTATTACTTTAAATTAAATATTATTATTAAAAGTATTAAGTAAAGTAATTTTATAATTTATATACGTAACTTATAAAAAGGGAATTTTATAAGCCCGGAGTAATATTAATAACTAATTAATAGCCTAATTATAGTTAGCTTCTTTTTTATTAAATAAAAAGTAATTTATAATTTAAAAAGTATAATTATTATTAATTATTTTATAAATATTAAATAATAATATATTAAATTAGTTAGTTTTATTATAAAAAGGAACTCGAAATAGGTTAGAACTCTATTATATTAACTTAATAAACGTAACTTAATATAAAAAAAAAAAAGTAAATTAATAAGAGGAATTTAGGGCGCTAGGCTTTTAGGCTTAGCGGTTTAATAATTACGTAATTTATAGGGGGTCCGTTAGGTACTTAAAGCCTAAGTACTAAGGGGCCTAGTACTTAGTACCGTAATATTACCCCCCCCTTTAGTATAAAAAGTACTATCCGTAACGCTTAATTCCCTATTCTAATCCTCTATAATTACTTTTTATAAGCCTATAATAAGGGCGATTATTACGTTATTATTAGCTTATAATAAAACCGGGCTATTACTAATTACTACCTCTATTTATAATACGAAGTTCTTTAATAGTCTTATAACCGTTAAGTATTACTTATAAAACGCTTATAGGGCCGCTAGTATATAATAAAAGCTCTTTATGTCGTATTACGTAAGGTCCTTATTATACCCTTTTTAATTAGCTTAGTATTATAACTTATTATATTATACTTATAATTTAACTACTTATAAAACTTTATACTTAAGCTTGTTAAAACTATAAAAAATTAGTAGCGGGGGGTCTTAGTATTATCTAAGTAGGCGGTTTTTTATAACCTTTTTTAGCTTATTTAGATAAAAGACTAAGTAGGCTTTACTCTTTACGGGTAGTTTTATAATCTATATACTACCTAAGCTAATATTAATAATAAGCTAGAGGCTAGCTTAGGGCTATTATAATTTATTAACGTCTTAGGTTTTTTAATAAAATACGTTTATAAATACTTTATTACTAATTTTTAAGTTATTAAGCCGTTAGTAATAATTAGCGTATTTTTAGTATTTTACTTAAATAACCCCTATATTACTTTTAATAATCTCTTAAGCTTCGTAAATACTTTAAGTTATTTTCTAAGCCTTAGTATAGTTAAGCTTCTTTTTAATTAAGTTAAAGCGTTAGGTTTTAGTAACTTAATTAAAAAATAATCGAGGCTAATAGCCGAATTTGACTTCGTAAAGTAATAGCCCCGTGGTTTTATTAAGTTAGATTACGTAAGTAAAGTTTATTATAAGTAGTATCTCGCTCTAATTATCTTAGTAATAGTTAATTAAGGGTTATAACTACTAAAAAATATATTAATTTAAAATCTCTATTTAACTATTTATCTATAAATAGTTTATTATTAATAACTATAACTTAATATTATAGAGCCTATATAGCTCCCCTTAAAAGTCTAATATAAACTACGGACCGTAATTAAAAATAATAGTCTTAAGTAGCCTAAAGATTAATAATACTCGTTTATAAAATATTCTACTTATATCCCGCGTAGTAATAGTTTTATAATAAAGTATTAATATAGTTCTTTTATTTAATTTATTAATTATAATATATATCGTATCGTAGCTTTTTTAATTAGAGGGTACTATTATAAAATCTATTAAAATATACTATTATAAGTAATTAGGTATAAATAGAGGCCTTAGCTCCCCCGGGGCCTTATTATAAGGTTTTTAAGAGTAACGGTATATATAATAATTTTTAATGTATTAATATATATCCGTTATAAAGCTAAGCTAGTAATACTATTATTTAATTATCTTAACTACTTTATTACGCCCTAAGTACACTAAAAGCCTCTATTTATATACTTTTTAAATAATTATAATACGTAAATTATCCTCCTTAAGTACGACGAGCTTACTATTTATTATAAATAATCCGTTATCCTAAATCTTTTAGCGCTCGCGGCCCTTAGTTACTAGTACTTATATTAAAGTAAGTAATATTATTATTAAGTTATAATTAAGCTTTAGCATTTTTTTAATTAATAAGTACCCTTAAAGCTCGTCCTTTAGTATAAGGGCCCTAATTACGAGCTTAAGCTACTATATTATATTCTTTAATAATACTCGTAGCTTAGTAATAATATTTAATAATAGTAGCTCTAATAATAATAGGACCTAAGTTTAGTTAGCCTCTTTTAGTACTTATTAAGTCTTAATATCCTCGTTCTTTTTTAATAGAGCGTCGGTAAGTATATTTTCCTGCCTTAAGTAATATTAAATTTAAAAATTAAAATTAGCTAGGGCGCTAGCTTAGTAGGCTTATTATAAATTAAAAAAACGCTTTATTATAAAAAATAGGAGCGATTAGTAATTTATAATAATATTAAACTTTTAGTAATAACTAATTAGTTCTACGTATTACTTTTCTAAATAAACTACTATTATTAATATCTTTTTATTATATATAGTATAGTTAAGCTCTATACTATTTATAATTTTTAAATAGAACGCTATGGGGTACTATAAGTTATTATTTATTTATTATTAAACTAGGGCTCTAGCGTATACTAAGTTTAATATATTAGTTTTTAAGTATATAAGTAGTTTGGGCCTAAAATAATAGAGTATAAGCGCCGTTATAAGGGCTAGTTTTAGTACCTCGAACGTAATATTATAATTAGTATCGAATTAAAAAGGTACGCCTTTATTAATTAGCTTCGTTAGTAGTTTAGCTAGGCGCCCATAGTCCTTTATAAACTTTTTATAAAAATTATAAAAACTAAAGAACGATTAAATACCTTTAAGTAATATAAGCGGCTTTTAGTTTTTTATAATAGAGACCTTATCTTTGTCGAGTTATATATTATTAATATTAATAACGAAACCTAAGTACTTCGTAATAATAATACTAAATTTATATTTCTTAATATTAGTCTATAATTTAGCTTTTTATAAATAATCTAGTACTTTCGTAACGTACTTATAATATTATAGGGGGTTATCTAAGAAAATTAAGATATTATTTATATACGTAATATAGAAATTATTTAAATACTCTATTAGTACGTTATTTATATATCGCTAATACGTAATTAGCTTATTATAGAAGTTAAAAAGTAATACTTTATATTTATATACCCTATAATAAGTATAGAAAGTTATAAGGTCTTTTAAAATAAGGTCGAGGTAAATATAATAAAAAGCTTATTTAATATTAAGTTTAGTAAATACTTTAGCTTAGCTTAGCCGTATTAGTATTTCGTTAATTAAAAATAGGGGGTACTAATCTTTTTTTATAATTTTATTTAGTTTTTTAAAGTTAATATAAAATTGTAAGCTATTATTATATTTCTTAACGAATAGTATAGGCGATATAAAGGGCACGTTACTAAGCTCGATAAATCTTTTATAAAAGTACTCTAAAAAATAGGCTCTAGTTACCTCTAGCTCGGGTACTAATTATTTATAGAAGGGGTAATAAGTAAGCTTTTTTTAACCTCCTTTTATAAGCTTTATTTTATAGTTATAATTACGGTATAATATTAATATATTATTCGCTACTTTATTA